GATAAAACACACAATATTCCATTGGTTCCTTGAGGCTTCCTCACCCCCCACTATCATGACCCCAGTCCTGCCTTTCACTTCAGGCTAGACTGGACATATACACTGGTACAGATAAGAGCTCAGGACATACGGAATCCAGGTCAGATAAACCCCTCAGGCACAGAAATGGGAGTAGGGATACCAGGAGGGGAGGGGGAAGGTGGGGAAAGGAGGGGAGGAAGGGGAAGCGGTTGCAATGATGGACACACAAGTCTAGTTGTTCCTCAGTCTTGGAGCCACATGGCCCTTTGGCCTTTGCCTCCATGGGCCAGGAAGGCAGCCCACCTATTGCTCTGTCCCACAGTTCCATTGCTCTGGGCCAGATGAGGAGAAGGTACCCCAGAGTCTTGGTGCTGCTCCCCTGAGGCCCCATGCCACATGCCAGTCTCTGATGCATCTGGCCTTGGCATCCTCTGCCACTTCAGACAGAGTACTTGAAGGAGATCTTCCAAGGTCCTCTGGGTTTTTTCTCTCTGCTCCTGCTTCAAAGTTGGCTTGCCCTTTTTGCCAGAGGGTGGTAATAAAAATGGACCAATTCTCTTAGGGTTACATGTGCCCTAGTTCCATAGTCTCACCCAGGCACTTGGAGTGAGTTACAGAGGCTTGAGTAGAAGAGCCATATTATGAAATATCACTCCACTACAGCACACGACCCAAGGAGATTCAATGTTCAGCCTTTGTTTGAATGAACTACACATTCACTATTTCTGAGTGTATTCATCTCCTGTGGCTGCTGTAACAAATTCAAACTCGTTGGCTTAAAACAACAGAAATGTATTCTCTCTGCTCTGGAGACCAAAAGTTTGAAATAAAAATGTACGTAGACAGGGCCACACGTTATTTAAGGACTCTAGAGAAGCCTATTCTTGCGCGTCTTCTAGGTTGTGATGACTGCAGGTGTTGCGGGTTCAAATCCTACCACTTAATAGCGATGAGACTATGACAATTCATCTCACGCTTAGAATACCACCTTGGAAAATTCGCCTGTGGATTGTAGAAAAAATATAGTGAAACCATGATCATCTCAACAAACAATAAGTTATCCTTATAACCAGTGGTGAGAGTGGTGATACCAGGAGGGTAGAAGGGGTGGAAATGGGGAACCAATTACAGGGCTCTACATATAACCTCCTCCCTGGGGGATGGACAAAAGAAAAGTGGGTTAAGGGAGACGTTGGACAGTGTAAGATATGACAAAATAGTAATTTATAAATTATCAAGGATTCATGGGGGACGGGGGAGCAGGGAAGGAGGGGAAAAAATGAGGAGCTGATGCCAGGGGCTTACGTGGAGAGCAAATGTTTTGAGAATGAAGAGGGTAACAAATGTACAAATGTGCTTTATACAATTGATGTATGTATGGATTGTGATGAGTTGTTTGAGCCCCTAATAAAATGAT